CCCTAAACACTCACACCACCACCAGGTAGAAGTTTCCCAGCAGATCTAGATTCCAACATAAACATGCACAAATTACCTTTGGTTCTTCATTATCTTAAATGATCTACCTCATACTTCTAAACTAATGTAGTCTGCAATAGCCATTGCTTTTTTTACTCCTCCAAAGAAAGAGACAAATAGCAGAAATCATTGCTCAATAATTAATCCACGAAGTGATACACCCATGTGCAGATTCAGGCCAATATGCAAGCACTGGCAACACCAGCAAACAGTATGATGGGCTAATCTTCCATACGTGCAAGCATCATCAATTATTATCCTATGATCACCATAACTATGCATGGAGCAATTGTCAACTACACGAAAGATTTGTAAACTAACCTAATATATCCCCAATTGCAACCATAATTGCATAGTCATCTACCAATGAGAGCATCCAAAAGGGCTACCACAATGCCTCAAATTGGATAAAATAGAAGTCTTCCCTCATCTCTAATAATATTTAAACACCAACACTGATGCAAAGTCTTAAAATGGACTGTAAAAGCAAACCTTTGCATAAAGGTCCCATCTTCGTTGCATAGAGCGACACTTCTAATTCCACAATGTTGAAAACCAATTTTTGCAGTTCCATAGATAAAAAATGATTCTGACTAACTTTAAAAAGTTTAAGAAAGAAATAAAACCCCACCTTGGCCAACTGGTTGTTAATTACCCTCCAAAGAAGGCTCAAAGTCCAGGGTTCAACTCTCCTCTCCCCCAACCTTATCTAAATGTTAATATATATAGGCGCTTGTTTTTGTTCTCAAATATGCTAACAGATTAAGACCATTAAAACATAAAAATGGATATGCTTCCAACCAAGGAACATACATATGAATAAGCCTGAGAGGAAAAGCCTACCTCGACTCGTCCATGCAATACAATGACCTTTTCAGCTAAGTTATTTGATTTCACAACTTCATTTGCCTGCTTGCAAATAGCAAAGATTAATACAAACCAAATAGCCAGTTCATTTCTAATACAACAGAGCCAGTCAAGGAAAGGTCTAGAGAAGTAAAAGAACATATATAATTCCATACTATTGATATACAACTAGCTTTCATCCTCTAATTTCTGTGTTAACCAGATATCATATTCTCATTCTTGTGATAACAACAATGGTGATGTGAGATGGAAAAAGTACTAAATCTGCAGTCTCACAAACAGATTGTAGAAATGCCTCAATAATAAACACAAATGCAACAAAGTACCTGCACTGCAATATCACTTGCATCCACTGCATAAACCTGAGAGCATATAATCACTTTAGATACTAGCCATTTATTTTAAATGATTCCATTGACATTAACAACAAGAATATAACCTTGAGGAACCAATAGATTTTGAACTTCTAAAAAATCAAAGGAAAAACAAAATTGAAGATCTATCTACATTTCTCTTGGTCAAAAGATCAATAGATGCCTATTGTCTTTTTTAATGATAAAATTAAAAAATTCGCGTTAAAAACTAGTTAGAGAAAAACTAGAGGAAATAAAAAATATTAAACAAAATTCAATTTCTAGCAACCCTCCTGCACTAGTTAAAGAAAGTAGTCTTCAGAAATTAGTAGAAACAGGTACCACATCATATGCAGAAAATAGTGATTGAATCAATTTTTCATATAAATGTCCAGTGATACCTCCAGCACAAATACGTGAATTATAAAAATATGCACTTCAAGACATATTACCCGTTTTGCACCAGCTTGAGCACAAAATATTGAAAGAATGCCTGTGCCACATCCAACATCCATTACAACCTGGAAGCATGACAACAACCAATAACGAGGAGGAATGAACCAGGTATATATTGTTTGCAAAACATTTCTTAAAACAACCAGCGTGTGTGAGAGCCAGATGCTTCGTATATTATAAGAGACAAATGCATTTCATTTAGGTGTGAGACTATACTAGGTGCAGTATAAATGTTGTGACTGGATAAAATGAGAATCTTGCACAAAATGCAACCAAGCAGGATAAGCTTGCGTAAATACAGAACTATCCTGATATTTTTAGATTTGAGTAAGAGATCATATAAAATTTTGTAACTGAGACTACAACAATGGTATTACTTTGCCTTCAATAAAACTCTGGTGTTGCATGATTGCGGCCCTGTAAGTTTCAGTACGAACTCGATCCTGTATGCTTCAGAGAAAAACTAAGATCAGCAAATTGTCATGAATTTTTTTATTCATTATTATTTAAAAAGGCAAAAGGTGATCCAAATTTGCAAGTGATAAAGGCTCAGAACTTTGTCAAGTTCATACAAATTAATAATAAGCTGGCTAAAGTGCTGAGAAACATATAATTAAAAACTTTCCTTAAACAACAAACTATAATTCAAAGAACCCACCATTGGAAAGAGCTCAAGTCAAGAAATGTTCAATTGCCAAATGAAGAGCTAAAGTCAAGAAATGTTGAATTACCAAATGAAGAACACAAAGCTTAATCTAACAGAATTGCCTGTATTAAACTTTGGACACAAATGCACAATTCAACATTGCTTCAACAAAGTCGGCACAGATGACCTAGCTGATTGATATTAACAAACACACGCATTTTTAAAACAAGGAAGTGAAGATATAAGGAAAACTTAAATTTGAATTCCCATGTTAAAACTCTCACTTAGAAGTCGCGACCTTGAAAACCCCTACCTCACATGGCGATAAACCATTAAATCCTCTTCATCTTCTTTAACATTCTAGTAAATTTAAACACTTAAAAACCTCCGAAAAAACAAAACCCACAAAGCTAGAAGTAAAAGAAATTCACCAAGTCCCTGAAGAAGTACTAACAAAACAAAATAAACCCAGCTAAGAACAAACAAGTAGCAAGCAGAACCAAACAAAAAAGCAGAAGAAGAAGGACCTTGATCATTTCTTCGTGGATGCCAACATGGGCATAAGAGTGAAAGTAGGCCATGTCGAAGTCCGTACAAGGAGGAGGTGAATTCTGCTCTTGCTGGTTGTTGTTGTTATTGTGGTGGTGCTGGCGCTCAGAAACCCTAAACCCATGAGGGTCACGAGACCTACGACCTCCCCTCCTCCCTCGTCCTCCCCCTCGTTTTTCTCCCGAGCTCTGCTGCTGCTGGCTTTGGTGGTAGCCATTACTATATCCCGCGCTTCCAAACATTTTTTCTTTCCTTTCTGTTTTCGTTTTTTGGGTTGGAGGCAGGGAGAGCAGCAATTCACCGGCACTGTGAGAGAAGGGAGCCAACGGCAGCGTTTTTGTCGGGATTTTTGACACAAACCCAACGAGGGGGGTGACGGTGTTTTACTGTTGAAAGGACCAAACAAGGGTTAAGGTTAAGGTTAAGGTTACGGGTTTGCGGTGTGTTTGGAACAGAGATTAGAGAGAGGGCCGATTGACTGGGATGCGTTTCTACTTTCAATTTACAGCCCCCCTGATCAGTTGTTCAAATATTTAATTTACACCCTTTTAATAAAAATAAAAAATTAAAAAAAGAAAAAAAAAACCAACAAGAGGCGGAGGAATACGACTTCGAGTAAAATCTTCTCTTGTGGACGGAATACATACTGCTAATTTCTAGTTTTAATTTTCTCTAAAATTGAAACCTTTTTATTATATATTTGGATTTTATTTTTAAAACAAGTGTAAATTTATATTCATTAAGTACCTAACAATTTATAATTAGTGCCTGTTTAGCTCGATTTTTTTTTTAATTTATTTATCTCTTAAAAATAAAATTTGAATCAAATAAAATTTTGAGAAATTGTTAAAAAAATATTTTTTTAAAAAAAATCTAAAATAAAAGTTTTAGAAAAGAGCTTTTTCTTCTCTTCTATTAAAAAATTATCAATTTTAAAAAAAATAATTTTATTTCAAAAATATCCTCATTTATTAAAATTTAATCTCAACATTACATTCTCAAAAACTATCTCTCATTTCCCTCATTCTACAAATCACCTTTCTCCTTCAAGGTAAATCGTAATCTCTCTCCTCTCTATCTCTCTCTACAAAAACTATTAAAAAAAATTGAGTTATAAAATAGTAAAATTTGAGGGTTTTTTTATTCTTAATAAGATTAAAAAAAAAACTTAAAATTCAAACCTGTATTCAGATACTACTTTTTTTTCTTTCGGTTTTATATTTCATTTTCTTTCTTTCGTTTTTTTCTTTGGAGTCTCTCTTTATTTCAATTACCTTTTAATTTTGATATAAGCATTTAAGTTATTGTTAAACGATTTGGAGAATCAAAGCTACCATTTTAGATTCTTGGTAAACATCTTAGATCCATTAAAATTATTGAAAGATCTTGAGGGTCTATCATTTTTTTTGTTTAAATCACCGCATGGTTGATAAACTAATATGAGGTAGCTCTACATCCCAATAGTTTTATCTAGTTACTTTTATTCCAATATTGTTGGTTTTCTATTTCAATGTGTACGTAAATATATTAAGCTTTGTTTTTTATTGAACTTTGTTAAAATTACAAATGATTAAAAATGTATCCAAATAATTAACTATCACTTTCTTAGAAATTATTATCTTTTTATGGATATAATTAATGGTAATTTCTCTATTTTCAAGTTTTGTTGGAAGTGTCCCTGAATGTTATGGAAGATTTAGTCATGTTGGATGATTTATGAGTGACATATACTTGTATAAATTTCAAGCATTTTTTGCCTTGTTATGCATCTTGGTTTAATTGTTATAATGCATATGCGATCTTTAGGAACGATCTGAGCTAAATGATCAGTTCTTGGATAATGTTGACACAAGATGTATTGCTTTATATACTTGTTACAATTAATGGCTAGTTAAGAAATATCTCCACCTAATTTTAAAATTTCAAAAAAAACCAAAACATAATGTAAAATGAGATTTGGTCATTATCAAAATCTTACTTCAAGTTTGTCCGAATAAGATTTATAAGTGTGGAAAGCCAATAATTTCATTCGAAACTAAAAAATGGAAAGTTGTAGTAGAGAAATTTAATACTCGTGCTAATAAAAACTATAACCAAAAGAAATTAAAAAATAGACTGAATAATAAAAAGAATGAATAGACTTTATAGAAACAATTAAGGGGAAAAGAAACAAGTTTGGGTTGGAACCATGAGACGCGAACCATTAAAGCTAATGCCACATGGTAGGAAACTAAAATAAAAGTAAAGTATTTTAAATTTTATATGTTTCAACTATTGTAAATTATTTTACATATGCACGCCGTTTAAAAGTTTATTTCTCTTTGACATTTGTGTAGGCTAATTTAAAATATGTTCGATTTGGATATCACATGTTGAAACATGCTAATAAATTAGAATTTATATTTAGAGATACAACAGCCACTAGCCAAAATGCATGAACACCAGCGATGGGTGTACCAATTGAAAATACTATCAAATTTGCAAATCTAACTTTGCTACAAGACAGTGTTGTATCCGATGCTGAAGAAATCAATTGTGATGAAGATAACAGTCTTATGATAAATACTTAAATCAAGAGGAAAAAATTGGTGCTAGAAAAAATGGGAAAAAAAGTGACAAAGGGTAAGACAAAAATTGGAATTCCAACAAGCTTGCAAAGAACATTAGAACGATTTGTGTGAGGTAGTAAAAAGTCACAATACAATTGACAATGCTGAAATTTAAGTGTCATTGCAAGTTACAAGAAAATATAGAATTTCGAAGTGCATTTAAACATTGAAATCTCTACAAAATGAGATGAGATTAAGTACAAATGAATTTAATTTTGCATTACGATTGATTAAAAAAATAGACTCATTTTTATTTCTTTGTTAGATTTAAGTGATAAGTTAAATTGAATTCTATATGAGCATAATCTATCAAAAAATTGTGGTGGAAGTAGTTGATTAATTTAAGATTTGATTTGTTTATCTTGGGTTGATGTTAAACTTTAAACTACTTTCTCTTTGTATTTATGTTACTTGTTATGTGTAATTGAATTAGTATTTGAAAGAATTTGCTATTATTCATGTTATATTTATTTGAATTGTTATTTCTACTATTTGATTTATTTGAAATAATATTTGTTTTTTTAGTTGATATATTTGGATTTTTAGTTATGTATTTTGATATTGTCAAACAAATATCTTTTAATAAAATCAAAGCATCAATACAAGTTGTAAAAAGAAGAAAATGTGCAATATTTTATCAAAACATTTATGGAAGAGTTGCTAGTGCAATTGTATATCACATGACATACAAACTGTTTCAATTATTCTAATGATTGGAATTGGATATGTGAAACTTTACAAATTTCGGATGAAAGTTATAGATTGTTTAAGATGGGATCACATGTTGTTTTGCAACTTATAGATACATTAATGAATAACTGATGGTTACATCCATTTAAAGACATGTCAACATTGGAGTTTATTATGTTTCTTTGGACTTATGTACATTGTGAAATAAATTGTAATATCCAAAATAAATTTGAAAAATTGAGAAAGATTGTAAGTAGCAAGTTCGGTGAAATGTTAGATAGTTTGTGGTTATTTGGCCAATGAAATTATCAAGGGTCTAGATTTTCAATTTGTAAAAGCTTCATTCAAAATAAAAATGATCGTAGATATTAGCTTTATTTTCAGCAATGCATTGATGCTATAGAAGGATCACATGTTCCTGTTGTTCTTCCTACAATAGATGCTATTATAATCCTAATTATATTTATGAGAGTCAAGAAGAAAGAAATAATGATGAAGAAATAGGTTTATATACATATAGAAAAGCATTGGATGATAGTTACGTGGATAGAATTCAAAACCAAATAGCCACTGCATTAATGGAAAAGAGAAATCATTGATTTATGAGTTATTTTTTAATTAAGTGTTATTTATAAATTATTTGTAAAACTATTTTTTATGATTTTATTATTAATTATAAATTTTATGTTTTATAAAAATACTTTTTATATTTTCAAAAAATTTGTTTTAAATAGATAAAAATAAAGTTAATTTTTTTCCATTGTAAACAAAAGAATTTGTCATTACTAGAAGCTATTTATTAAATATTCTTTTTAATAATTTTAGCCAAAATTATACTTTATATAAGTTATTGTTCCAAGAAACTTATCTATGAAAAAAAACTTATAAAAAATAATTTTGTCTAAAAACTTTAACTTAATTTCAAAAGTTATTATTTTTTATAAGGGTTTTATAATAATTTTTAAACTAAAAAAAATAAATTAAATAGGCTCTTACTCTCCTATCAAACATGTACTCTTTTGATCTAATGGTAAATAATTACGTAACCCTTTTAATTTCTCACCAATCCTATTTTAAGGACCATTTAGTAGAGGGAACAAACCACGAAAATCATTTTGTCAATAATAATTTTTTTGTTTATTATTTAAAATAAAATTGTTTAAAAAAATGCTAATACAAAAACCATATCAAAACAAAAACAAGAAAGGAATAGTAATTAAAAAAACTCTTAAATTACTTAAAAAATTTTAAAAAAATTATTTAGTAATTAAGAATAACGATGTTTTCGAATATTTTTTAAATAATTTAGGGATTTTTTAAATCATAATGCCAACATGAAACAACATAATAACATAGTAAGATAAAGAAACGGAGTATATAAAATTTATATTTCTCAAAAATAAAAAATAAGAAGGAAACAAGTTGTAGTCATATAATTATAATTCTCACCAATTGTAAATTAATCACATTTCCTCATATATGGTATTTATTCTAAACCACTTAATTGCTTGTTTGCTTAATTTTACAACCCTTATTAAAGTAGTATTATTATTTCATTAGTGTTCACACTCCACCTATGAAATGAATAATTTCAAATTTGAATGCCACTTGTTTTCTCTTTCAATTGGTGGAAAGATAGAGCTGATTCTTTAGTTATTTGCATGTTATGAAATGACTAATTTCAACAATATTACTTACCACTAATTTGATAAAATGTAAACATTTTCCTACTTATGAATTTAGTTTTTGTTTGATATAAAAATTATTAAATTTTTAGTTACAAATTAAAATTTTATGTATTAAATTTATGATATAAAAATTAATTTGTTTGCTATTGAAAATTAAATATTTGAGTGGACTTATTGTTAAATCTCTTGTAAAAGAGAGATAAATTTCTAAGTATCTTACATCAATAAAAAAATTAAAAAAAAGAATAATTGATTAAAATGAAAGAATATACAATTAATTTAATTAAATAACATGTTTTTCTTTAACTAAAGTTGACTCATAAATATATTAATTAACTAAAAGATTTTTAATACTTTTTTTGTTAAAAACTTTGCATTAGATAATTCCTAAAAATACATTATAAAAAGTATTTAATTTTTAATAATGTATCAAATACATCCTAAATATTTTTGCTATTTATATTCAATAAAAAGTTTAACCAATTAAAGAGGATGTATTTAACCTAACAATT